TGAATTAGACAAAATGGACATGAGACTAAATGGGGATTAGACAAAACGGGCATTGGAACAAATGGACATTAGACCAAATGATCATTAGATTCATTGGCATTAGATTGAATGGACAGACCAATTAGACGTTAGACTGAATGGTCATTAGACCAAATGGAAATCAGACCACATTAGACCAAATGGTCTTAGAGTTTAGACCAAATGGCCATTAGACCAAATGTACTTTAGACTAAATGGAACGTAGACTAACTGGTCAGTAGACTAATTGATAAGTAGCCTAACTGGTTATTACTTTAGACAAAATGAAACTTTGCCTAAATGGTTATTAGACAAAGTGATAAATTGCCTTTTTTGGATATTAGCCAAAGTTGGTAGGCCTAGGCCTATAGCCCAAATGTGAATTAGACATAAAGGTAATTAGACAAAATGATGATTAGACGAATCAAATATTAGACAAGCTGGTGACTAGACAAACTGGCAAACAGACTAAATGGTGTTAGACCAAGTGTATTAGACAAAATGGGCTTAGCGTAATTGACAATTAGACAAAATGGTAAATAGGCTAAGTGGCAATTATACCAAAGGGTTATTAGACAAACTGGTTGTACACAAAATGGGATTAGACCATGTGGGATGAGACCAAACGGGCATTAGACAAACTGGGTGTAGACCAATCGGCAATTTACCTGTGATACATATACAAACTATTACTAAGTTTGAAGACCATAATGTCAAACCCCATGCGTAATATAATAGCTGCTCCATTCATTAACCCTTAATACTAGTCCTAGCACGTTTTAGCCGACCCGGTTCTTAAAGACCAGACTTAAGCACCACATGCTTTGGCCTTGAAATATTGTGCCTAAGCCCCCCATATTGACGATGGAAGCTAGATTTTTAAATGTTGACATTGTTTTGGAATTTCACTACTGAACTTAGATCATATAGATGTGGTCACCGTCAGTGACTTTTTCTCTGTGTGTAATGCAGGCGCGCCGGAAGCAATTCTGGATTGGGGGGGGGGGGGGGGCAAACATCCCAGGGGGCTCCTTTTTTGAAGGGGAGGGGGCTCAGTGGCATACACAGGGGGGCGATACGACGCGTAAAAAATTTCAAAGAAACTCGAAAGCGAGGGAGCGAAGCGAATGAGCTGGTTACGAGCACAGGTATAAATTACACATAATTATAATCTTTTATTTTGTGAGCAAGCAAAGGGAGCGAGCGAAAATAAAACATTTTTCGAAGTTATATACATTTTCTTTCCAACTCTTCTCCTCTTTCTTCCTCTTCCCTTTTTTGGGGGGGAAGGGGCTTTTTTTTTTGGGGGGGGGGGGGGTGAAAATGCATTTTGCCCCCCACTCCCCCCCCCCCCCCTCCTCCGGTTCCGGCGCCTATGATGTGATGTGTTGATTTGCATATGTGTTTTGATACTTAAGTGCCCTCGCGTGTGAAAATGTGAAATTATTATTTGCGGTCGAATGACGTGCACTTTATCCAGTTTGATGGAAATATCGCTAAAAAATCAGAGTTATTTTGTTGTTTTTGTTGCTGTTCCTATTTTCTCAAGTCAAGAGGAGCAACAAAACTGAGTGATCCATTTGCTATTGTTGTTGTTGCTTTTTTTTTTTTTTTTTTTTAAGAGAGTAGATCTAGACCTAATAAAACTCGTTTGGTAAGGTTTTAGGGATTTTGTTTTGCAGTTGAAGAATAAATGAAGTAATATGCAGTTCCCAGACCCAGTGCGATCTGATAATTAAAATTTGCACGAAATAGCATTAGCAGCAGAGACCATCCAGAGTCATGAGACCCTCTAGCATAATAGGGCCCTATTCCACAAGGGGTGTCTTGCAATCGGACTAAGTTAGGTCTCCATACAGTCAGTACACACACAAAAAAAATCAATATAGATCTAGAGCTAGACCCTGGCCTAGACTATATTTCATTCGGCGATAGTCTACAGTGTAGATCTAAAAGTAATAGACCTAGACTCTAACTATTAGAGCTACAGACTAGACCCTATATCTGCTCCACTGAGACTAGATTCTACATCTGGCTTCGCCGTATTCTTCTCGAAGAGAGCTAAAAAATAAAATGTTCAAAGACTCATCCAACCAGACGGATTTTTTTCTGATTAGGTCCAGATCTAATGAAGTTAGACCCCAGCCTAGGTCTAGTCTAGTCTATTTAGATCTAGAGTCTACATCTTAGTTGCTGTTACTAGTGTCACTGATAGTGTTAGACCCCAGTCCCCTATCTTATCTAATTCAGTAGACATAGACCTAGATCTAGTCTAGATTCTAGAGCTACAGTCCTACTCCTAGTTAGTCCTAACGTTAGTCCCCTAAAAGGCTAAAGTTTGGGGGACTAACTTTAAGTTTAGGGAACTAACGTTAGGACTAACGTTAGATCATCTAGGTCTAGAATCTAGACTAGATCTAGACCTCTCTAGGTCTATTTCTACGCCTGAATTAGATAAGAATTAAGATAGGTCTAGGGTCTAGATCTAACGTTAACTGTTAGGGGACCGGGGTCTAACACTAACAGTAGGCCCTAACTTGTTAGATCGAACTGTTTTGAAAAAATACATTTTAAAGAGGGAACAGGTAGACCCTAATTCCGTTTGTATTATTCCAATGTCAACTAGCCTAGGTCTAGATCTACATGCAGTTGAATTTGATTGAAATGTAAACTAACTGTTAGTGTTAGACTAACTCACACTCACAGTAGATCTAGATAGATAGGCTACTAGCCTACTAGACTAGTAGGGGTCTACTAGATTTCTAGTAGAAGTCTAGATCTAGATCTAGCCTGGCTAGAAAAGTCCTAGATTCTAGACAGAAAATCATGTCTCTATTTCGTCGCTAGCCTCTTAATAGCCTTATGTAGGCCTATGGCCGACCCTACCCAAATAAGAGGCTAACAACGAAATTAAAGACAGAGTTTTCGGTCTAGAAAAGTCCTCACTTGGTCTTGGCTTGGATTTATCATTTGATTGATGAATTGCAAACCGTAGCGTAGGCCTAGGCCTACGTTAATGGCAATGCTAATGTTAAAGTTACTCTTGGCCTACTTTAAATTACATAGACTAGGTCTAGGTCTAGGTCTAGTCTAGGCCTACTAGACCTATAGATCTAGATCTGTAGGTTAGGTCTAACATAATAGGTCTAAGTAGAGGTCTAGGCCTATCCCTATATAGGTACCGGTAACTTTTACACCAACCAGTTCCACACAGTCACAGACAGTGTCACAGACCAGTAGATTTCTAGACCTCTAGACTAGACTAGTAGATCTAGACTAGATCTAGACCTAGTCTAGATCTAGTCTAGACCTAGTCTAGATCTAGTCTAGATCTAGACCTAACTTAAACAGCCTGCTCTTTCAAGACAAGTTTTATCAAAACCAATAAGTAGATTGCTTTTATCCAAGAAGTTTAGCAGTGAATGTGAAATATTATTGTTATCATTCAATCATTGATTGATTGATTGATTGGGGGGGGGGGGAGTAATTTCACACAATGAAAAGCAGGCAGATCTACGATATGACAGACTACGAATTTTCCGATGATGTCCTACCCGAAACTCGGGGCAAGCTGTCAAGTCCAAATTCTCACGAGACATGAGCCATGCCACGGCATTGACGGGCACGGCAAATCAAGCCGAAAAATAATGACGATGGAAAATGTATTGAATTTGAAAGTTTGCCTAATTAACTTCTCAAAACCTTAGAAATACTAGTAGGTTTGGATCACTCAAAATATTAGGATTTCTTTTGAAATAAAAATGAATTCAAGAAATTCAAGCATAAATTACTCACCGACAAACTCCTCCCTCTCGCCAGCTAAAATCATTCTGTGCGGGTGACGTCATCACAGCCACTAAAACGCGCAGCGCAGGCCAGGGGAAGTGACAAAAGTAGGATCCGTAATCTGTTTAAACAGATTAGTTGAAGTAATGTAATCTGTTTAAACAGATTAGAAGAAATATCGTAATCTGTTATAACAGATTAGTGGAAATACCGTAATCTGTTTAAACAGATTATAATCTGTTTAAACAGATTAGAAGAAATATCGTAATCTGTTATAACAGATTAGTGGAAATACCGTAATCTGTTTAAACAGATTATAATCTGTTTAAACAGATTAGAAGAAATATCGTAATCTGTTATAACAGATTAGTAGAAATACCGTAATCTGTTTAAACAGATTAGTTGAAGTACTGTAATCTGTTTAAACAGATTAGTAGAAATACCGTAATCTGTTTAAACAGATTAGTAGAAATACCGTAATCTGTTTAAACAGATTATAATCTGTTTAAACAGATTATAATCTGTTTAAACAGATTAGAAGAAATATCGTAATCTGTTTAAACAGATTAGTAGAAATACCGTAATCTGTTTAAACAGATTAGTAGAAATACCGTAATCTGTTTAAACAGATTATAATCTGTTTAAACAGATTAGAAGAAATATCGTAATCTGTTTAAACAGATTAGTAGAAAGTGTGTTTTTTTTTCTTCGTGGCACTAATGGTCTTTCGTATGATGTGAACAAAACCTAACCTAAAAAGTAAAATATATTCATATTTAATCACCCATTCCCCTAATCCGTACTCGACGATTTGAAAGCTGTCAAGAATATTTATTTTTAATCTAAAAATGTTATAGATCTACTGAAAGTGATTTGATTGCTACATGCTAGCTTCCACATGATCCTGATAATAATGAGCTAGTGGCAGTGCGATTTACATTGCAAAATGCTGGCTCAGGAGTACTTGGCATTGTTGGTTCTGCCGTGAATGCAAATACAATCGGTGTACATGAAAGTAGCTCTTTTCGTGTTGCCAATTTCATACTCACTTTATGGTAATAGCGATTTATAGAAAAGGGCGAATGATATTTGCTCTGGTGATCCAACATTTTGTATTCAAATTATATTGCAATGATTGAAATGTAATCAAATGTTGATGTAAACTAGTAAACATCTTTCTGATATTTTGTTTTCAGGACAGGTCATGGACTCCAGGTCACCATGGCGTCTATCATACATTCCTGAGCTCTTCTGGGGAGCCGTAAATTTTATATCGCTTTTGTAAGTCTTTTTCTCTTCCTTTGAAACACTAGTAAGTGATCTTTTTCACGCTGCCTGGACCACTGAATGACAGCTGGTTTTGCAAACAGGCACATTGCATGTTGTATATATTTAGTTTTCTACGAAATAGTTGCAAAGAAGAATAGGCAGGCCTATACACTCTCAGTCTCAGTGATTTCTGGAGTATTTTTTACAAAACCCCTCACTGTAACCTCCTATAGACACAAAGGGCAGCAGGTTGATGCACATGCAGATATATAGCCACTTTTAAAAAGTTCCTTGGTACCTGCTCATTGATCCCTTGTTTTTGACAAACTTCATCAAACAATCCAAGTGAAATTTAAAGGATCAAAATGTTTTGCTAACTAGTTGTCTGTTTATTTATTTTGTTTTCAGATCTACACGTATGAATACAGAAATATCTGTGTAGACCTATTCTCTTTTGAATTAATGTATTTATACTTTTTTTCTCTTCTCTTCTTGTTTTGCTCTTAGTTTCAGAACAATGTTTTCGGTAAGTGGTGTTTTTATTCATTTTTTCTGCATTATAGCTTTGAATACAATGATTATATCTTGCTCACCTAAAAAATTCTTTTTATAAGAACCTGTGATGAAATGGAAATTTAAATCCCCAGTAAACATGAATATTGTACAAGAGTCAACTTTGTATTACAGTACATGTGTTCTTTGTGTTTTTTCAGTCTTAATTTTTCTAGTTTTTGTCTGTATTCTGAGACCAAATGATACTGTATTTTATTGAAGAGAAGAGTATTACTAACCACTATTTGTACTCTCATTTTGAATTATAGTATTCAAATTTATTTGCAGCATTATGTCTAGGAGACATCGTGAAAATGTTTCTGTTACATTTTATCTTCCTCACATTTCTCCCACCTGACTTTGCAGCCTCAATTAACGAATAGAGGCACTGGATATACATCAGATTACAGACAAGGCCTTACAGGCAACAGCAGCAACGGCAGAGGGTGAGTCTTTTTGACGACTCTTTATATTATGCTGATATCTATCAAGTTTTTGTGGCACAATGGTACATGAACAAGAATAGTATGAAATTTGATTTTTAGAGTAAAATATTCATGTTCATCCTCAATTTGTAGGTTGTAGGTTTTTGGGTTGCCTGTCCAAGAAAACTATAACTATGCTTTCAAACGACCAAGAAGTATGGGGTGGTTTTTATGCTCAATTGTTTGAAGATACAATCTATACATGAGTAGACAAAGGTTATGAAGAACTACTGCAAATGTGTTTAACAAAATTTGTGTAATCATGATTTATTTATACTCCACAGTTGCATTCTATGGTACATAGTTGGAAGTATTTGTTTTAAAAGGAGAATCAAAAGTAATCAAAATTTATAAAAAGAGAATAAATGCTCTAAATTGTTCAAAGTTGCACCTCTCCATCTTTAAAAGATCCATAAATTTAGGGGGGTCATTTGTACTAGTGCTAATTATAAACTGGTCTATTATTGATATCTCAGACCCGGAGGACCCCCTGCCCCGCCCAGGAGAAGAATGGGAGGATTTGGAGGCAGACGATCAGGACCAGCTCCACCACCCGCTGCTGGAGGTGGATGAGGAAGGTGAGTGACAATCGTAGCAGCTCATGAGATGTTAATAATCTGTGCTGCTGGAGTCGTTTAAATAAATAAATAAGTAAATACAAAAACAAATAGAAATTTATTGTTTAAAAAAAAAGAAGAAAAAAAAGAATGGAAAAGTGGGGGAAAAGGCATAAAGAAATAAAAGCAATAAAATGAACATGAAAATGTACATTTGATGTTTACTTTTGTCTGATCCAAGCTCATCAAGTACACTAAAATATTTGATGTAGTCAAATCGCACAAAATACCTGCAACTTGACCTCAAAGGAAGAGAATTCATGCCAGAGTAAATAGATACAAACAATGAAGGCTGTCTGTACATGAGGAGTCGATCACTCTTCTACATTGTCTTGAGGGGGGGGGGGGGATGACAGATTTAAAACATTTCGCCTAATGTACTATGTAGAATTACATTTATTCTTTTTTAGTTACCTGTGTATTATTTTTCAAGTGGGCTTTGCATTGGCAGCTTTTATTCTATTTTTTTTTCTTTCTCTCTTTTCTATTTATTTCTGTTTTCTTCTCATTGCATTTATTTGTATGTAAAGTAAACCAAAAAGGGAAGGGGATCAGTTAAAAGCCTCTATATAAGACATATATTCTTGTTACATTGTGAGTCAAATCAGGACATAAACTTCTTCATTTCTTTTGTTATTCCTCACAGGTAAATGCCTTCTCCTTCAGCTAGCTGCAAGGAGTAGGCCGTAGGGCGCCACCAGAAATATCAACAGACACAAAATTCATTCAGATGTTCAGGGAGTCTTCCAGACCCAGATGGCTTGTTTCCGTTTCACCTGCTGGGGATTAGTTTGTCTCTTGTTGATTTTTTTTCATAGAATAGTTATTGTTGTTCCAAAGTTACGAGTGGATATTTTTTCTGTTCTTGTCTCAATAGCTGTATTCAAAACTCAGGAAAATTGTTGAACCTTAGCATTGTGTCCTTAATGTTTCTGTTTTTGTAAACAGATAGAAAAAACAAACTTCAGCCACAAATGGTGTCTTAATGTGCTTAATGCCAAATATATTTTTTAAGCAGATGATCATGGTAACAATCAATGTAGTGGATTAATTAAAGTTTGTTGTATAGTTAGTGCTGCAAATATGAATCAAATGATAAAAGTCATACGATAAAAATTAATACCAAGTTAGCTTAAAACGGGAATCTACATGTATGTGTCTTTGGATATGCTTTAACTTGCTATGTCGTATGAGTAATTATATGAGTAATGGTTCAGTAGACTAGGCGTATAATCTTTGTGGTCTTTTCTAAAAAATACATTGTTCAAGAAGCGCATGTCAAAATGCAGCAAGTGCAATACTAATCTTACATTAGAGTGGTTAGATCTTCTGAACTGAAAACTAAAAATTTACAGTATATATTTGTTATTTGAGTTGAAAATTATTGTTAAAGTATGTGCATGAATGTTTGTTGAGGAATTTGACTTTGTTGATATTTCTGAGTGGTCCACCATTGAATTTATTGAAGTACACTGTATCTGACATATGACGTCTTGCTAGTAAACTCAAATACCTGAGGCTGGCTTGACTGATGACAAACAGCAGGTACATATAACATGTAATGTCATACTATTCTCTCCAAACAACTTTCTTTGAAGAGAATATTATGTAACAAGATATTTATTGAAGTATGTTTTTAATTTATATTGCATTAAAGTTATACATTTCAATATATATTAAATGCATCAATAGTATATTTGAATATCTAAATTTTCAAATATATATGGGGGAGGGCATGGAGAGAGTTTATATTTTGTTTTTCTTCTTTTTGTCTTTATCATTCTCCACACAAAAAACTACATCATCCATTGATAAATTTTAAGATTGTGATGTAGTGTACTAGTAAATCATTACTGACATGAATTTTAGAATTATATGCTATACATGATATGATTTTTTTTTAATGAAAGTGGTGAAAGTGAATTGAGGTACATTTATAGACAATAATTTCTTTTCACCCCATTTTAGCTTCATTTTACATTAATATACTTTTTATATTTGCTATATTGTGAATTTCGGCTGACAAGAATTTCCTTTTAGAATGGTTAGCATGTTATGTCAATGAAATGAGATGATAAACACTTTTCTTTTCATTCACACTTCATTCATTTACCTTTTAATTTTTAATTAATTTATCCTGCCAAATGTATTTGTATTATTATTATGAGTAGAAGTAGTAGTAGTAGTAGTATGTTGTTGTTTTCTTGGCTGCTGGCTTCTTGGGTGCCTTCTTTGGAGTTTTCCCCACATACGCCCGCGTGCCTCTTTCTCTCTCATCCTTCTTTTTTTTTTTTTTTTCGTATATGATTCATAAAAGATGCAGCGAAACGTGTATGTCAAGCAATTATTCTTTGGATACACATATACAGTACGTCAATGTGTGAATGGGTTTTTCATCATACTTCATGTGTGTTATAATAATACAATGTATATAAGAAAAATGGTTTGATTAAGGGAATGATAAGAATATGAATTTTATCTCTAAATTCACCTTAAATCTTCTTGTTATAAATATTCTTTGAAGCGTATTAATTCTTATTCTCTTTTTCCTTTTCCCCTCTTCTCTTTTTCTCTCTTATGGGTCGATGGATATGGTTAATGATATCGTTCAAATGTATTAATATGTTGTACATGTGTATATTAAAATGAAGATTTTTCATTCTATAACTTATTTCTAGTAATAGATTTGATTTCATTCCGATCAAGATGTGTCCTGAGTTTTCTTTTTTATGTGAAAGTTAACAGTGGTAAGATATCTCCTGTTTTGAATCTCATAGGTTTAAGGTGTATATTGCAATGTATTATGAAGTTCACCCTGATGCCAAGTCTTTTCTATGAAAGCAGATAACAATTTTTTGAGAGATCAATGAGTCTGGGATGAGAATGTTATGAACTTGTGTTTATCAAGAAGGCTTGACAACTCAAATCAGTTAAAAACAGGAAAGATGAGAGTTTAAATGATAAAAGTGAGAAGGAATATGGGAGTATTGGAAAGCGAGTGGAGTGTTGAATTCTTAATTGATTTGAATTCACCTAAAAAGTCGAGCCCCTTAATTATACATAAGCAGTGCGTGTACACTTGAACTTAAGTTTATTAGGAGTATGAACAAATAAAAGATTATGAATTTGAACCAATCATAACTCTAATTTGGGTGGAGATTTCTTCCTAGCTTCTATGTTTGCATTATCTGTTGCAACCATGGATTGCAAAGTTTTGGGGAAATGGAGCATGAGATGAAATGAAGATGTGATACAAAGTGAATGAGTCGAAAAGATGATGAGGATTCGAGTGAATTATAGACCCCCCCCCCTTCCCCCCTCCCTCAACATCAACAAAAAAACAGTATATTTCGTTCTGGGATATGTTCCTGAATAAAACCATAGCGTACCCTGTTTATTCAACATACAAGTTGCACATTGAGGCTACCATAGATTTAAAGCACCAAACTGAACATACCAGATATGTTCATTGAAAGATGATGAAATCAGTTGAAAACTACAAGAGAATGAAAATTTAATGGGTATTAATATCAATGACTGCAAAATACAATATATAAAGATTCTTTATTCGGTGGGTATTACAGGTGATTCAATAAATAGCAGCACCACACCACACCACACTCGACCATCCATTCCAAATTTGTCTCTTACTTTAATTTCATTTCGGCTACACGTGCAGTGTGTGTATACAGTGCAGTGTATAAAAGAAATTGACCAGCGTATGAGAATTAGGTGAGTTGTAGTTTTATTCAGAATGTTTCATTTGAATTAATTCATATAACATTATTTTAGTTTATAGAATACTTAGGCACACTTTGCTATTGTGAATCTTCTTAACAAATACCATGTATAGACTACCTAGAATTGGTAAAATGTGACAGTTTCGAGAGGCTCGATCGGGTGCGGCAAAATCGAGGAACACAATGGTGGGCGCGGCGCGTCGTCTGGCTCACACTGCACTCACAGGGTCTTTATTAATTTAAACCAATAATGACAATATTATTGAATTATGTTACTCTACATCGACCTAGGTCTAATTTAACATTGATTATCACGTGCCATGAATATTAACACCTTTGGGCTCCAGTGCACTTTCGAACCGGGCGCCTAGAGCGTCTAGACATCTAGATAGAATGCTGAACTGTTGTTTAATGCAAAGGAAAAGTGGAAAACCTAAAATTCATCGCGATATTTGCCAACTTTCCCTGTAGATCTAGGCCGTGCACAGATCAGTAGCGGCGCTGGTCCAAGAATGAGGATCATCCGCATATACAAGGACATCCTCGTAAACGCTGACAAATTGCATCCTCAAAAATAAGGATCGTCCGTCTTCCCGAGGATTTAGATCTAGATCTATTGCTCATAACGTGAAAGTCTCTAATGCATTTAGAAAATCTTCGCAGAATCCTTTCTTTTTTTTGCATCGCCAGCCTACGGATCAGAAATATGAAACGTCTGCAAAAATGCAGACAATATTTATTTTTGCTTATGATAGAGGACAATCCTCGTTTATGCGGACGATCCTCGTTTATGTGGACGATTCTTATTCTCGGACCAGCGCCCCTACTGCAGATGGCAACCCTTGTCACCTTATGATTGAATTCAGTCTCTGTATAGAGGAGGTCAGTGCATGGAGCCAGACATAGTCTCGGCATGAAAAAGGGAAAAAATGTGTCGATATCAGAAACTGAAGCTTGCGGTCTTAATATATCAATTAGCAGTCAAATTTAAATCTAAAAGCAAATTGCCAAATGTAATCTTGTTGTGGACATTTAATCAAAATACAGTTGTACATGTACAGATTTTTTTCCCTCCAACTTATGCCACTAAACTGAATAAGGAAAAAGAAAATAAGATGCTTATGGCTATGTACTTACCTGTTCATAAAATGATTAAGTTGTTTCTCTTGTGCTTTTGTTTTATTTTCAGGTGAAAACCTAATATACTGTAGCCATGGTACAGCCGGTTCCTGACCACATGAACTTTCCTCAAGAGGAGGAAAAGATCCTTCAACTTTGGAAAGAATTGGATGCTTTTCAGTCCTGCCTCAAACAATCCAAAGGAAAACCAAGGTGTGTCTAATTTTACTCCTCTTTTTCATTTATGATTTACGATGTGATTGAAAGAATTAAATTCTTGCAAACTACAGAGATGTTTTTTTTAATCTCTTTAAAGTTCTAATAATCCGCTTATTCCCATGTAAAGCCTGTTTGAAATTGACCATATCATTTCATGCAGAGGGAAAATTGGGTCTCTTTAAATTTCAATCCAAATCAAAAATTTAAAAGAAAGTTTAATCTACATGTAGATGTAGACCTTAGATCATATTTCATTGTTATCAATATTGTTCATTGTGTTAATATTCTGATATTGAACTCTATTGAAATTGGTAATTCGTTTTATTTTTTTAAAGTGATTTCTCCAAACTAAATTAAATAGCATGATCACAAAAATTGCTTTGTGAAGTTGAGAAAATGTCCTTATATTTGAGGATAATATAGATGCTTCCAAAAAGATGACTCGCCATAATATAATAAATTGTGAGTCACATTGATATATTCTAATTGAAATGCAACTGACCATTAAAGTATGATTTTTAATTTTTTTTTTACCAAGGTATTCATTCTATGATGGTCCGCCCTTTGCCACCGGTCTACCCCACTACGGTCACATCTTGGCTGGAACTATCAAGGATGTTGTGACTCGTTACGCCCATCAGAGTGGTTTCCATGTTGACAGAAGATTTGGATGGGATTGCCACGGACTTCCCATTGTAAGAATAGAATGTGTTATGCTCACTCTACAAATAGGCTAAGATATTGTCATATCCTGTCTATGAATACCAGTAAACTAAAGAATCTTAATGAGTAAACATGACCAGGTGCATCGTTATCAAGCACCATGTGGTGTTTTGGACAAATACGCAAGATTAGTTTTGGCTTATCAACTCTATAAAGGGAAATTCTACTATGAAATCAAGTTGGCTCAAAAAGGCCTGAAATGTAGAGAAACCTATCAGAGGGAGAAAAGTCCAATAAAGGATAAGAAAGTCATAAATGCTTGTATAATGCATGTAGAGGTTAAAAATGTCATGACATTCTATGATATTTCTATTACTTGATTGGCTTGGGATTCAGTAACCTGCCTTCATTTCAAATGAAATAAATTGCATTTCTAGACATCGTATCTATCTCTGCTTTTCATTAAAACATGCTACCATTAGCCTACTACTGTTAGCTTTCAAAGTATGTCACTTTCTTTTGCTTTTTATATGAAGTATGGAATTCTTCTTGATGCTTCTAACTGTACATGACTATTGTGTTTTGTTTTTGTAATAGGAGTATGAAATCGACAAGAAGCTTGGCATCACCGGACCCGAAGATGTGGCAAAGATGGGAATTGAAGCCTACAACAACGAGTGTAGAAAAATTGTTTCTCGCTATGCTGGTGAATGGGAGGTAAGCTGAAATCTGACAGTGATCAGTCTCTGTGAGTCTGTGTTGAAATGATAGGAAATGCAAGTTAGAATCAATGGTTGATTGAATATGACTTTGTGTAAGTTTTGGATGACAAGTTCATTTTCATTTCCCCTTTTTCATCCATTGTGAAGTATATTTCTATTTCTATCTTTATTTTTAACATGTAGAGTTATTCCTTATTTCGTTCTAAGATCCAGTCACCTGCCAACATAAACAGGAAGAAATGTTATATCTATATTTCCTTCACAAGAAACCATTTCAGTGACTCATGACTAGAGTTCATGTAGGTGTAGTTGTGGTAGAGACCCTTTTTACCGACAGCTAATTTCCAGGCCCTATGTACTCCAAAGATTTCCTAAATATTAATTTTTCATATACTTACATTTTTACACAAGTTTGTTCTTCATGCCTGCCCCCTATTGATTTCACCACCTCTGATAAAAGCTTTTCATATGCCTTTTAGCAAATCATCACCCGTCTTGGGCGTTGGATAGACTTCAAGAAAGACTACAAGACCCTGTACCCATGGTACATGGAAAGCGTGTGGTGGGTTTTCAAACAGCTGTTTGACAAGGGAATGGTCTACCGAGGCTTCAAGGTATGTGTTATTTACTGAGGTATATTCCTATTATCCTGGAGAATTTTAAACCAGTTTATACTGTAGCATAAAGCCCTAACTGAATGATATACTAGGCCTGCTTAGATTGTATAAGGGATATTTACCTTTTTGGTAAGCAGATTGAATTTCGCATGTAAAAGAATCCAGTGTGAGTTGATTACTCTGTTGGTGCTGCTGTTTACATCCACGTGGCTAATGCCATCTCATTTATACCATGCTAGGAGAGTCTTACAAGGAATAACAAATTCATTTCAATTTATCTACCGGTACTCTTTCTTGTTCTCAGACGTGTTGAAAACTTAACTCTCCTTTATTTCTTGATGCAAATTATCTACCATTCTTGTAGGCTTACTACGGATAAGAAATTCCTCCTCTTGATCTTCTTAAGAATGCAGTATGCTTTTTTCATTCTCTTGATACAAACAGGTGATGCCCTATTCCACTGCGTGCAATACCCCTCTCTCTAACTTTGAGAGTGGGCAGAACTACAAGGATGTTGTAGATCCTGCAGGTGAGTTAAGGAGACAAATGCATGAAAACTGGCAGGGAAAAGTCATGAACTCATCATGCTGAAGCCAAAATGAAGAGAAATGCATGCAAACTTGCAAAGGCTACCTTTTTTTGGCAAGGAAAATCTTGCCAAATTGCCATTTTCTATAAAAGTATATTTATGCACAAGGACTAGTAGAGAGTGCTCCTCAGTGACCAATGATCTGTAGACAGGTCTGTGAGGACATATGCAGATGATAGGACTGTGTGATAATACTTTGATCAATGTAGCTACGGAATGGGCCTCAATCTTTTGTGGGGATATTATGAAATTTGTCTCCCACAAAGTTTAACCATGAGAAATGGATCATCACAACTCCCCAGCGGTCTGAAATAATAGTATATTTCGACATAATCCATCATGTCTACTCCGTTAGTAAGTTGGAAAGTTGTCCTTCTTTGCATTGGTTTGCCACTTTGCTTACTCGCTGATTCCCATCCTATCTGTCTTTCAACCAGTGATTGTGAGTTTCCCCTTGGATGACGAGGCTGGAGTCAGCATGATTGCCTGGACCACCACTCCCTGGACCCTGCCCAGTAACCTGGCCCTCTGCGTCAACGCTGCCATGGACTACGTCAAGATCAAGCACAAGAAGGACGGCAAGGTCTACATCATGATGGAGGCTAGACTTGGTGCCTTGTTCAAGAAGGAGAAGGAATATGAAATCATGGCCAAGTAAGGAAAAGAATTGCGAGATTTTATGGTATTGCTGGATGTATTATTGTTGTTATGCTGGAATTCACTTTGTGCTAAACGTTGATCGCTGTTTGAAAACTTTTGCTGTGGCATTTGTTTGAGAGAGAAATGACCATGTTTCTGAGATTAATTAAATCATGTATGATATAAGCATGCAAGTTTATATGCTGCTATCTGACAAAGTACCATACTTAAATCACTTATCATTAAGACAATACAAATTGTGCTCATTCTGCAGCACTTTACAGAGAATTTACTTTGTTTTTGAGATCAATAGATATAAGCATGCCAGTTTGTGTGCAGTTATTTGACATAATATCACACTTAAATCACCTATAATTGAGACAATAAAAAATGTGCTTATTGTGTAGCTCTCCACCGAGAAAACTAGTCTGTGTGCCACCTTTTCAATTTCAAGATGTGTAGACCTTATGAAAATTGTAATCATAATTATTTTCATTAAAACAACATTGTATCCTGATTACAATACTAGGACTCTAATATCTTGAAGAAAAATATCCTGATCCTTATCAAGCTGCATACTTAAATATGAGAGAAATTCTTTTTGTTCAGTAAAGGCTTGTTCAGATATGGGGTGGTAAACCACTGCAAAAAGGCAGCCACGTTTGTTTAAATGTGTAAATGAATGGCAACTGCACACAGCATAGGATTTGCCCATATTCACTGAACTCTGTTTTATATAAGGTACAGAAAGGTGAAGCGTATTACACTTCTTGTCATCATTGAACTAATTCCATGGTTTTGCTGCACCATCTGAACGAGCCTTAAATGAGTTCTTTTTTAACAGATGACTGTCATCACCACCAACCCATTGACATTTATTTTCTACATTTAACAGATTCAAAGGAGACACTCTCAAGGGTAGGAAGTATCAACCACTCTTTCCATACTTTGCTCAGGTAAGAATTAAGTGATGCTATATCCCCTAAAGCTCTGACTTTTATAGTCAAGTAACAGATGTAACGATTTAGTTATTTAATGGTGTGGGATTTTAAGCTCTTACAGATAGTAGGAAATTGGTAAGGGTTGTGATCTAAAGACATAATAAATATTATGTGATCTGAATAAATAAAGAGAAAGAAGTATTTTTGTCATCCCTTTTTGACATCTCCGATATAAGGAAGGATAAGAATTGTAAATCTGTATGCCATTTCAGGAAGAAGAAAAAAATAACAAATTTTTACAGTGGTTTAAAATTGATGTTCCCTGTAATTCATAAGATCAAACAATCACGTAAGAGTTTGTTTCAAAATATGTATGTAAAGAGTAATAATATTCAGTCAAACTTTAAAACAAATTGTAATTTGAAATTGTTTTGCTCCATTCTAGTTGAAGAAAACTGGTGCATTCAAGATTTGTACGGATGGCTATGTGACGAATGACAGTGGTACAGGAGTGGTCCACCAAGCAGCATTCTTTGGACAGGTGAGCATATAGGAGCTTCCTTGGCAAGACCTTGATTCATAAACTTGCTGATTTTTGTGTGTTTCCTAACTCAGAAATAAGAGGAGAACTGGGATTCAGGCCTTTGTTGAATACATTTAAGCTTTAATATGTCACATTCTCAAGAAACATAAATCAGGAGGAATCAGTTTTTCACATACATAAATGACAAAACTTTGCAAGGGTATTAATAATTTAGTTGTTAAATGTATAGGGTTAAGAAGAGCTCTGTACATTTATTTGCTTGATGCATTAGCCAAAGATTTCATTCTGTACATAATAAGAGCCTGAGAGAATGCTGGATTTGAATAGAAATGGATTTGTCTTCCTCATTGTCCTAGATATTTTATATCACTTGCTATTTCAATTTGGGAATTACTCATGAGAGTCTTCACTCGTTTGAAAATCTCAAGATTACACAAGATGTGAAGGCCTTGCAAGAAGTACTTGCTGAATGACTTTGTGGTTTTGATAATCAGACATCCAGGACATGGCAATGATTTGTTGGGAATTATGCTCTTGGAGGGTCATGTAGATTGATGAGATATGAAGCAGTGGAAGTTTATTCTGATCAGGTTCAGTGCATGCTAGCAATAATTTGAAGTTTGAAGTTTATTATTTACAACAACAAATGGTATGTACATCATAAAACAAAGTATGCAAGGCAAACAATAAAATACAAACTGTACATAATGTACAAAACAATGAATTACTGCAAAAGCTTAATTAATGCTTACATAAAACACATTTATTCAAAAATTCAAGTTGTTGCTAAAGAAAACCAAAAGTTGGCACAAGTGCTGGTTGAGATTGGTTTTCTCTGTTCACTATATGTCAATAGTGTATCTCTTCATTACTATAGCGTTATACTAGTTCTTACGATTATATTGTATACATCCAAAATACAAAACATTACTAACATTACTAGTTTGAAAGTCAAATAACATTTTCTATTCAAGATGATTGCAGGATGTGCTTGAAGCATGATATCATTTGAATGATGATTGTCTCATTCATTACTGGGATCCATATCAGTCTTGCTAATCAATGTAACTTTGAAAGTTGAATGACACCTATCTCTGTTTCTTTAATGTTCTTGTAGGATGATTACCGGGTGTGTCTGGAACAGGGCATCATCTCCAAGGAGGAGGTCGTCTGCCCTGTGGATGCCAGTGGTCGATTCACTAGTGAGGTCACAGACTTTGCTGGAGAGTATGTGAAGGTCAGTTTGAATGGTCAGAGGCCTCAGGCCGTGTAGAATGAGGATAGTATTCCACAGTTATAGAAGTAAAGGGGTGTGATTTTGTCAAATTTTGCATAGTTAATTACCCAGTGTCCGGTGATTGAATGTTCTTTGCTTTTGTGGACCATGTTATAAGGGCCTCCCTTTGTCTTATGTATACATTCAATATATATTTTACACTAAAAACATGTAGCTATATCTAATCCTAATTAATTTCAGTACAAAGAGTTCAGTTCATCTTGTGTTAAGTTTGTTGGCTTCAACCGGTAGATGCTACCAAGTACCTAGACAGATACCCAGAACACAACATGTTTGTAGTGTTTCGGTTGTGTGATGAGACTGTTTTGTCATTGTATATTAGCATTTATTTTCTTCATCTTCAGTTCCCGTTATAATCTCCTAACCAAAAATTATACCGTGTTCCCTTTGAAGGACGCTGACAAGAACATCATCAAGAAGCTGAAGGAGCTCGGTCGCCTGGTGGACAGCAGCAACATCAAGCATAGCTACCCATTCTGCTGGCGTTCAGACACTCCTCTGATCTACAAGGCTGTACCCAGCTGGTTTATCAGGGTTGAAACCATGTCGGAGAGACTACTAGCCAACAACGAGACCACATACTGGTAAGACAATGAGACATCATAGTAGACAGCCATCGGGCGATGGAAGAACTTAATTTAATTTAACTTAATTTAATTAAGGAACTGTACATTAATCTTGATCTAAGGAGACACGAACGAGCGTAGTAGTCCTTGAACTATTATGATCCGATGGAACCTGCATTGGTGGCCACCTCTCTATAAAGGCCATATGTTATAGTGGCCATCTTTATTGTTTTCCTTGAGAAAGACGCGTGTTATAGAACCTGACTAGAAAGGCCACCTGTCTGCTGTAAACACCCTTTCTGTTTTCCTTGGGTGGTGTTTGTATGTTTTTTTATAATACATTTGATATTTGAACTGCTAAATTGTCCTTGTTGTTATTGTTTTGTTGTGCTTTGTTTTTTCAACTCATTACCTATTTGCTTGCATGTTATTCGAACTTGAAGGACAAAGTTGGTTCATTACTATTTCTCAAAGTTGATGTCTAATGCTTCATTGCTATTATGATATACTGTGGTAGGATTACGTTTACATTTTATGTTTCCAAGTAATTTGACATAAATACATGTGAGTACATGTACATTCTTTTAATTTATACATGAATTATAAAATATCTAGAGCATTTAATCTTCACATTAACGGAATCTATTTCAATCAACTACCATTGCATCTACTCAGGGTACCAGGGTTTGTGAAGGAGAAGCGTTTTGCCAACTGGTTGCGGGACGCACACGACTGGGCCATCTCTAGGAACCGATACTTCGGCACTCCCATCCCTCTGTGGGTGAGCGAGGACCTCGAGGAGATTGTTTGCGTTGGTTCCATCCAGGAGCTCAATGAACTGACGGGGGTAGATATCACTGATCTTCACAGGGAGAGGTAAGAATTTTTATTCTTATAATCACACTTGAATATTAAAAATTGCTTCTGTTAGTTTTCTAAATCGCTCTATGGCGGAGGCATCAAAGATTCATCTAGTTCTTGAGAACTCTAGTCCTAAAAGTTCTTCATAAAGAAACAGTTTAACATCCAGTCTTCTGCAGTTGGATCATACATCAATCTTCATCAATCAAAAAATGTTTATGTCAATCTTTTCGTAAGTTTAAGCAAAGAAATATTGAAATTTACATGGGAATGCTGATCCTCAAACTTGATTTGTGACACTTCTATGGAAGATGATAAAATTATAATGCTTTCTACCAGAACAAAGATTGTTTGAAAGGTTAAATATTGAGACAATATATAATATTGAAATTCAAAATTGAATGCTAATCCTCAAAGTTGATTTTATGACACTGACATAGAAGACATTGTACATTTTGATTCTTGTTCCCCTGTGCTTTACAGTGTTGATAAGCTGACCATCCCATCCAAGCGTCCTGGTAAGCCACCCCTACGTCGTGTCTCAGAGGTCTTTGATTGCTGGTTTGAAAGTGGCAGGTATGTATGTGGTCAGTGGTGTAGCATCAGTCTAAACATTTAGGGGGTACTTTCATCATTGGGGAGGGAGGGGGTATCAGTGGTGGATGATGACTGCCATATGATTGTTGCATTTCATTGACAGATGTAAAGCCTTGGTCACAAATGCCATTTCGAACTGCTACGAACGCAGTTCAAACAATTTTCAGACAATGGAAATTCAGAAAGACAATGGAAAAACGGAGATTTGTACGAAATTATCGTTCGTACGAACCATTGTGACCATAGCATAAGCTGTCCTAAAATAATAAAAAAATGAATGATATTACATTTCACTATGTTGTTTGATTATAAATGTAAATGAATATTCATACTTTTACAGCCATTGGTTTATGGTTTGAAAGGCTGTTCAATTGAATGGGATGTCCTCATATATAGAACAAGTATATCTCTGAAATGAGAAGAAGAATTTAAAAAAAACTCTTGAACAGCTTTTGAGGAAATTGTCAATTACCTACTCATAATACAGCATGATTTTCAGGGTGTTCAGTTGTTACGTATTAATGGTTTAGTAATGTTATTACTTGTCTTGTGGATATACATAAGTATCTGTGTTAATGAGAATGATTCATACCTCTTGACTAATGCATACCTTATTTTACTGTCATTTCAGTATGCCCTATGCCCAATTGCACTACCCGTTTGAGAACAAGAAGGAGTTTGAAGACAGCTTCCCTGCCAACTTCATTGCTGAGGGTATCGACCAGACAAGAGGATGGTAATTTAACTATTTACTTTCAAATTATAGATATAGGAATATTGTAAAGTTCATCTTAGTAACTTTATACTGTGCATACATATGCAATGCAGGAAACAATGATTTATCAATCAACACAGAGGTCTGATATCTATACATGTTTTTTTAATGTTTTTCCTGACATCAAACGCTAATGAAAACTTTGAAAAACCTTTTGGAGAAAGGTGGATAGGATATTATTTTTTTTTTTATTTATCCATACATTGACACTCCCATATTTCCATACCATAACTTATGTTCATGTGATACATTTACGTTTTTGTTTGTTGATGTACTGTCTGAAAGATAAACTTGAGTTCTGGTAAATATAGAAAATGAATTCTCACAGAATCCAACGAAACTTACACTGAATGTTCAAGATTACAAATAAATGACATGTGCCCAAAAAATTGGTAGAAAATGTATAGTGGCTGAGTAATGAGCATAGAAAGATAAGGAAATCAGGGTAAGTAGGCCCAACGCCATTTGCTTAATACAGAAGATGATGCCCAGTATGTTTTTGTGTGTTTGTTTTTATTTCACAACCGATCTACTGCATGATAAACAAGCCAGGATAAATCATAGCAATTTTCTCTCAAAATAGTTTTCCCATACCAGAGCTCAAGATTAGCTTTAACCTTTTAATTTGTAATATGGGTGTATTTTTCTATCTCTTTCTGGGCATTACAACCTATCCAAACAAAAAAAACTCATCAAGGCTATTCTACTTTGTCCTTGCTAGGTTCTACACCTTGATCGTGATCTCTGTGGCCCTCTTTGACAAGCCTGCCTTCAAGAACCTGATTGCCAACGGGTTGATCCTGGCATCGGACGGACAGAAAATGAGCAAGCGTAAGAAGAACTACCCTGACCCCATGAATGTTGTCACACAGTATGGTGCAGATGCCCTCAGGTAGGTTCTATGATGCATGCACCACTGAAGACTAGTCAAGTTCCTAACCTCAACACTGGACCATGAACTTTGCTTACCCCCAACCCTAACCTTAAACCTAAATCTACACCCAACATAAACCCTCGAAAGAATGCTGAAATGTTTTTGATGAAGTAATGCCTGGGTAACCTTTGCGTAGTATCAAAATCATGCTCGAATAATTAGACGTAAATCTACAACCAACAGAATACTGACAATTGCAAGATGAAATCCTATTATTTTAATGAAGTAATACTTGGGTCACCTTTCAGTAAGATCAAAATCATACTCTCAAAACGAGGGTGTTACTTGAGACATCACTTGTAGCAAATAGAGCATTAGCATCTAATCAAGATTATTATGTGGTCTACTTTTGGACCACATGTATTGTCATATGTGGTTTAAAGTCAAGCACAGAGGCACCTTACTGTCAATTCAATTGGTTCGCAAGATAAACTTATAAATCATTGTGTGAAGTTAACTCTTGTCTTTGGAGTTAACAATAATGCAACAGTATCTCCTTCCCAGATCAGGGCCCTGTTTCATAAAACTTGGTATCAATATCAAGTTAAACAAAAAGTTATAAGCTACTGTAATAGTGGCATTTGATTGGCTGATAGCAAATTTGTCATTTGTCATTAAGCAGTTGTTATTGATAACAAGTGCTTGCAGTCGAAGATCCATCTAGTTTACAATGATGCACTTCTATATTCATAACCTACCCTGACCTAATCTGGTCAATTTGTCTATGGTTTGCATCTAGATTCTGCATTTTCAATTCAGATAAGGAACATACAAATAAAGAATATGATATCTGTTGTACTTCTAGATGACAATTATACACTGAAATATTTTCGTCATAGGCTCTATCTGATCAACTCGCCTGTGGTCCGAGCTGAGAATTTACGTTTCCAGGAGACGGGAGTGAGGGATGTTCTCAAGGATATCTTTCTGCCATGGTTCAATGCCTACAGGTTCCTCATGCAGAATTTAGAGAGATTAGAAAGGGTAAGATTTTCTTATTTCAAACCTCCCTTCACAGGAAATGCAAATAATGTCAACATTTGGTATGTCAAGTGATTTCAGATTTGTGGGGAGTTTCATTATTTCTGACAAACGTTTAGGAGGATATGTCAGAAAAATCTAAATTATAAAGAATAATTGAATTGGGTGGAGTAATATTAGTATTTTCAGCTTCAAACAACCTTAAAACTAGCAAGGCCAGCTTTCATCGATTCCTGTGGAACTAATTCAAACCAAGTGCTTCTCATCTATTTCTTGAAACTAAATTTTATTCCATAATGTCTTAGTTTTATACCAACACGCCAATGAGGATAGCGAGTCCAAGTGTAAATTCATTCTTGTTTCGAACTTATTAGACATTTTTTATTTCACTAGCAGAATATGTCTGACAAATCATTATTGTACCCTGTGGGCTAAACCCCCACTAGCTTGATTGTAAAAAAAGGAGTTATGGTTATACCTTCTTTCATGAACACCTGGCTATGAAGACCATTTGTTTGTTATATGTTCCCTTGGTAAGTGTTTTTTTCTCATTGAAACTTGTATTCAAGGACCCTGTACATTTGAACCACTTCCTCGAGCAGCCTCTATATACAATTTTTCAGCAATTCTATTCTGTGTCTGTAGTATGTTGATTGTAATGTGCATCCATTCTCTGTATCTTACAGGAGGAGAATGTGAAGTTCAGTCACAATGCGCAGACCTTCAAGCCAACAGATAACATCATGGATAGGTGGATCCTATCCTTCACACAGTCTCTCACAAAGTTCTTCCACCAAGAAATGGCTGGTGAGTTCTCTGGGCCTGGTCTCACCTAGGTCCTGGTCTAACTCTTTAGAATGGTCCATCTCAAATTAACCCTGTTGTTTAATTCTAGTCAAAGGATGTTTGTATGCTTGTGTATTTATCTATTTTGTTTTTGATGCTGTTATTTGTTTTATTCTTACCAAAAAGGGCCTTATGGCCTCAAATTGGTGATATGTGCCACCCTGTATAAATATCAGAAATAAATAAATAAATAATAATTAAATAAATAAATATCATTTTTGAGCAATTATGTTCGAGTGATGTATGTCACTTTTCTTTCTTCTTTCGATTAGGAAATTATTTCTAGGTTATTTAACAATTGTCTTCAGAATAGATATCTTTTGCTGGTCGCTTAGGCCAGTAGAAAACAAGTATTGTGCATTTATTGTAATTTTACCTTCAAATATTATCTTTCCATGAGGACTTTCATGGGTACCCAACATTTGCTCTGGTGACATTATCTCTGTGCTTCCTTGCATCAGAGTTACCCAATAGGGTTAGGGGGTTGTGTAGTTTTTGGTCCAGGAGTTTGGTTAGTGTAGAAAATTGAGGGCAGCGCAATTGACCCCAGAGCATGTGTCAAGAACTTTTATAGGAGATACTTCTCTTGAAGATTATCATTTGTGTAAGGTGTACAATTGCTCATCATGTCCTGAACATTCCTCCCCTTTCTTGATGACAGCGTACCGTCTGTATACGGTGGTGGTGAGACTGGTCAAGTTTGTGGACATGCTGACCAACTGGTATGTCCGGTCAAACAGGAAGCGACTGAAGGTATTTATCAATTCATTCTGTTTCTCTCCATGCAGCTGTAAATATTTGATATGAAAATGAGAAACAATTTTTTTTTTTAATCCTATAATGATTACCCTTGTTTTATTCCCGATATCCTGAAGAGTCTGTGTAAAAAAAAACCTAATTGAAATACGAACAAAAATATTGTCATTCCGGGGGAAAAGACGGGTATGTTATTTTTTATATTGGAAAAACAAGCGTGTAATATAAATACAAATTCATATCATTTTACATGCACTTTGGTCTTTTTTGTTTTGTTTTTGTGAAATATGATATTCAAGGCTTCTCAGTTTCTTTGCTAAAGTCAGTTCTTTTCTCTATACTGTTGGTTTGTTTTTGCATCAGTATGTATCCTTATAGGGAAGACTATAATTTGATGTTTGTTGCGTGTTTAGTTCAATCTGCAGTTACGCACATTCACAGACATGGACACTTTGAAGACAGAGGGCCCTCTAACCTTACAAAAATGTTTTTGTTTTAGGGATATTATTGATCTCCCTTATGCTCAGTGAGGGAACCAACTTAAAGATAAACTTGAGTTCTGGAAAGAAAAAAGAAACAAATTCTCACAGAATCAAACGAGACTTACACTGAATGTTCAAGATTACAAATAAATGTCATTTGCCAAACAATTTTGGTAGAAAATGTATACTGGCTGAATAATGAGCATAGAAAGATAAGGAAATCAAGGTAAGTAGGCCCAACACCATTTGTGTAGTCCCATGTACATCTTTCTGTATACAGTGCTTGTTACTTTACCAAGACTGGGCCAAATTTATTTTAATTTTGATGACTCCAGAACCTTACTTAAATGCTACATGATCAACTTTTCCTTATTGCTTCCACACGTTTTTTTTTGCAATGCAATCGCATGACCAGAACTCAACTTTATCTTTAAGTCCACATTCGCTTCTTTCTGCCATTCTAGGGAGAAGGAGGCAGCAAGGACTGTGAGGGCGCTCTCCATGCTCTCTTCAGTGTGCTGTTCAGCATGGTGCGTGTCATGTCACCCTTCACACCCTTCCTCACCGAGCACATGTACCAGAACCTGAGGCACCTGGTAGAGACGGACGTGGCTTCTACACAGGACACCAGGAGTGTACATTACCTGATGCAGCCCAAACCAAGGTAAGGTTGTCATGGTAATGATAATGAGGAGAAGGAATAAGGGATGAGGGAGAGGTGTTAGGGATAATTTGAAATAAAAATGATATTGATATCTCCTGTTCTGTGAGTAGCTTAAAAATGTGATGAACTATGTGTTTAGACTAAGAACTGTGATATTTTTGCTATGGCTTACCAATTTTAGGTTGATAATTTGTCTCTGTGAATTCTAAACCTGATTTATGCACAATGATAGTGATGCCACACTTGTATTTGGTAATTTCCTATGGCAATCAGTGAATTAGTCATGCCCGTACACATTAGGCATTTGAAACATGCTTGTCTGTGTTGCCTTTCCATATCCTTGAATCCCCCTCTCTCTCTCTGCTACTCATAATATACAAATATACACTGCCTTGAGAGGTTCTGGTTAAAACTATGCGCAAGAGGTGACTCCAATAGTACTATTTCCTGAGGGGCACCCGAAGCAAATGGTACTTTTGGAGTCACCGAGGCCCATAGTTTAACCAGTACCTCGAATAGAAGGCATGGTATATTTGTTTTACATCCTGCATAAAAAAATTATTTAAAAAAAAAAAAAAAAGATTAAAATATTTTGTTTTCATTAAAAATTAAGATTTGAAAGAAAAATTGATTCAATTCAAAAAAAAATTCACATTTTTTTTTTCAACTCCCAAATAGTAAACCAAAATAGTACTCTCATATAGTACTTTCTAAAAATAGGTCAAATATTTTTGGTCATGTGACGAGCTCTCAACCAATCAAAAGCCAACAAATTTTTGATGCAGGATATAATATCATTTATGCCTGCCTATAAACGCCAAATGTTCCAAGAGAATACTGCAGTTGCCAATTTGATATTGCTCCTTGACTCTTGAACAGGGAGGATCTGATCGATAGCAAGATTGAAACGGCCGTGTCCAACATGCAGACGGTGATTGAGCTTGCGAGGGTGATCCGAGACAGGGCCACCATACCCACCAAGTATCCCCTGAAGGAGGTGGTCGTCATCAACACCGATCAGGGGTGCCTGGATGATATCAGGTCCCTGGAGAAGTATGTCATTGAGGTAAGAGTTCTGGGGGGTGTTTCACAAAGAGTAAGATCGACTTTAAGTTGGACTTAACCATGGCAGGCCATTCATGCCACTGTTTGCTCTCACTATTGGTTTCTCAATAGAGATATTTAGATAATACTTTGTACTTCAACAATGAAATGTCAGTAAATGGTGAGAGCAAACAATGGCATGAATGGCCATATTCTAAAGGCAATAATATTAGGACAATTGCTGAGTTAATCCTGTGAAGGTCTTTATGATCATATTGTCAGTTAATACTAAAATTGGGTATAATGTTGTTATCTGTGTTGTCATGACGATGGCAATGTTAGTCAATAATGATGATATGATGCTTTTATATTTCACCATCCTGTAAGCTATTCAAAGGCACATGACATTACTTTTCTTTTACCTCGTTGTCCTGACAATACACTGGTACATTGAAGTGTCGTGCTTTGTCCTTCGGGTGGCCCTTTACATCACCTAGGTCAAGAGTGGCAAAAATAGATTGATGTAGTACCAGAAAACATCTGTGATGTTGCAGGGATTGAACTTTATCCACCAGACCTCAACACCTCTAGTTTCATTTACAGTTAAGAACTAAGTGTGAATACAAATTCAGAACTGTAGGTCCATTTTACTCACTATCAATTTTGAATCTTCATTGCAGGAACTGAACGTGAGGAAGGTCACGACCTCACAGGACAAGGGGAAGTACCACGTCTCCCTGCATGCGGAACCAGATCACATGATCCTTGGCAAGCGCCTCAAGGGAGAATTCAAGAAGGTCTCGGACGAGATCCGGAAGCTCACTGATGCTCAGCTTCAGGGGTTCATTTCAAAGGGTGAGATAGAGGTCGTGGGTCATGTGCTAGGAAAGGATGACCTGAGGTTGAGCTACAACATGGAGGAGTCTGCATCAGGATCTTCACAGTACCAGGCTCATTCAGATGGAAAGGTCAGTTAAAGAGAAGGAGAACAAATAATAATAATCAATCGCCAAGCTACTAATGTAATTAATGGGTCACAAAGGCCTCATCGGTATTTCAACCATCAAATCATAAACTTTTGTTTAAATGATATGAAGCGTCATGGGAGAAATCTCGGAGAAGATAATTTTGGTGCAATTCTATCTTAACGAGGTTAATTTTTGTGGCGGCTTCATGTAACTTTGAAAAAAATCATGTTTTTAGGATATGTTGAGAACGACAACTCCTCTGGATCCAACAAAAATGTTAAATCCTGGAATTTGGTGACTGTGCAGCTCTGGGTTATCAAGAGGCATAGTAGGACATTGTTTGCTCTGTCGTGTATTCTGTTATAGGAGGCTACATCATGATGGAACACACTGTATATGTTGTTTTTTAAAGTCGTTCTTTATGTTTGGTTTTGATATCATTCTAGATCCTTGTACTTCTCGATGTAACGCCGGATCAATCCATGTTGGACGAGGGTGCGGCCAGAGAGGTTATCAATCGTATCCAGAAGCTCAGGAAAAAGGTAACAATGTCTCTCATACCTCCTTACATCAAAATCTTATGATCTTTCAAGTCACGTGGCCATTCTTCCACTCTGAATGAAACGTTGAGCTCCTTTGAATGTTTGATCATCATCAAAAAACTTTGATCCTTGAAATGATAATCCCTTTCTGCAGCAGCTCCTGGAAGGTTTCCCCGGATGATGTACATTTTGATGTAGCTAAATTTCTTTTTGTTCATAATATCTTAATTACTGTTCCTTGTTTGATTGTTATGATTTGTATGTTTCTTTTCTGTTGTAATAGCGCTCTGATCACTTTGTCTGTAGTAGCGCTCAATAAGAATCAATTATTATTATTATTATTATGATGTATGTCAGTGTGAGGTACCACAGTGAAGTAAATTTGTATGTACATACAATGAGTATGTACGCTAGGGAAAGAACAAGCATTGTTGGTTTTTGTGATGGAATAAGTAACATGAATGGTAGCTTTTACAGAAGCACAGTGAAGGCTAGTCCTTTAAATTGCTGTTAATTTAGTTTCAAAGGAAGAAGAGCCTCAATTGAATGACCAACATGCTCTTCGCTAGAGATCATGTCGAGGGTTCAGTGACACAAAGACTTCAACTCCATATTTTGCCAAAATGAGTATTTGATATTAAAATGTTCAGAAAATGTAGGCTTTCAAGGAAACACAAAGACGTAACTCCACCCAACAAACCACTTTTTCTCAAAATGGCCAAAATAGAGTTACGTCTTTGTGTCACTGACCCCTCGATGTGTACAAAGTGCAAATGTTAGTATGAACTACGCTCCAATTCTGATTTCTTTATTGTTCTTTGCGCTGCAGGCAAGCCTGATGCCCACAGATGCCATCACCATCTTCTACAACGTCGAACCAGCTAGCGATAGATTGACGAAGATCATCCCAGCTCATGAGGAGTACATCTTCAACACCATCAAGCAACCACTAAGACTGGCCCCATTGCCTGCTGGAACAGAGGAGACCATCAGAGAAACATTTCAGGTTAGTTGAGAATCGGTTTCATGACAAGTCCACAAGGTGATCACCTGTTGTGGCAATTTTGATTTCTGTAGTCCGCACATCTCCAGATGTTAGGTTGCGAGAAAATGCATCTTTGATATTCACCACACCATTTTAATTTTAATTTATGATCCTTTATCCCTTCAAATTGAAATTAATTTCAATGATGTCATTATTTTGTATACCAGATATTTTTGTGGCATCAGATTTTGCACTAGAGTCCTTGTACACATTATACTATTTTAGTTATTCGTTGAGTACTCACATTATTTTTCAAATTTCTATCACCTTTACAGCTGAAAGGACCCAGCCTTGAGCTGATCATCGCAAGAGGTCATCAAGAAGCACCAGGTGCTTCCTCCAGGGGTGCTACGGCTGCTGCCTCTGCTTCAACCAACGGCCCCAACCCCTACTGCAAGTTTGTGAATGTAGAGCTGTGTGATGCCAAGCCCACCCTAGGGGCTACGTGTGGGCGGGGCACGGTGCTCCTGGAGAACCCCCCTGGTGACTACCTGCTGACCGTTGACCAGCTGACCCACCATGTGGGGGTCATCTTTGGACTACATGGGAAGAAGATCCAGCTGTACCTGTCAAAGAACAAGAGTAATGGTGAGTGAAGGATTAGGGCTTGTTATTGATTGTAATGTTAGCATTGACATGATGATATTTATATAATATAGAATGGCCTGAATGAATGGGATACAAGGGTATTTCCAATGAGCTGATGAACATATTTCACAAGTCGGCACGAGGAGTGAAATAGTAGAATCCAAAGCGAATGAAATATACCCTTGTGCCTCATAAAAGAATGCCATTCAATATTATACAAATAATGAATGGTTATGAGTTCAATAGTGCGAATATGTTCATGAGTTGAAAGATTAACATTCTATTCAACGAGGCGTCAGCCGAGTTGAATAGAATTAACGTTAATCTTTCAACGAATGAAAATATTTGCACTATTAAACGAATGAAAAACATTCATTATTTGTTTTATACAACATCGAAGAAGACCTAATAGAACGTTAATCAACAAATTATGCTTTACTCCTTATAAAGATAAATTAAAGTTCGAGTCAAGCCTTCTCGATTACATGCAGATTGCCTTCGCGTCAGATACACGCAGGGATACGCGCACATGCAGCAGAGAGGTACGCAGTCTGCATATAACCAAAAATGCAGGGCGCATATAACCAAAAATGCACGACCGTGCAATATACCATCTATTGAATATCATGTGACCAACAATCGTCCAATCAAATGACAAGGATCCACGTAGGTGTTGTATAATATTATTATTAGTCATTGAAAACACATTTTCACCATTACATCCTAATGTTTTTATATTACCTTGCACATCAAACATGCAGATAAGTAAACCAATGGCTTTAAAAAAAAGAAAGATCTTTAAAATGTATTGATGATCAAAACAAAAGATGATTTTCTTGAAATTCACATACATAGATTGTATCAAACTATTTCTGAGAAGAAAAAAAAGAGTAAAAGTATATTAAAACCGTATCATGAACAAGAGACTTGCCCCTATCTTAACCTTTCGTATTGCCTGATATTTGCAATATTTATATTCATTTGTGTCTTATATTAGCAGCTGTATGTCTAACAACTCATACTACCATTTGCTATTTGTTAAGCACACATAGATGGCAACATTTTATGCACTATTTAAGCTTGACATTATTATTATTATAAAATTCATGTCACACTTTTCATTCGATAACACTTCATTTTGTTTTTCTTTCTCTCTTTTTAACAGGTCTGAATTCCAGCAATGTCAAATCTCTTCTCTCACTGAGCGGAAGCACCCTGTATGCATACGTCAGTTGATGAGAGTAATCTAATCGTAGTACTTAGTTTCAAGTATGTACTCTGTGCATCGACTGGAACCGTTTGGGTTACATTATACCACGGAATTGCACAATCCATTACCATCTTTAACAAATATTTGTATTTCAATTAGGAAGTAGAGTAAAGGAATTTTAATGTTGTGAGGCAATTGTATGTTAATGTATCTTGTTATTGTGCTTACACACAGCTGCATAGTACAGACTGTATTAACTTGTTGGATACCGGGACTGAGATACTTTGAGCTGGAGTGCAGGGAAAGTGTGCGTTATACTATTTAAAGATTAAATCATACTCAATGGGTTAATTCTTTCTTTGTTATGCATTCAATTCTAAGACTGCCACGATAATAATATGTCCATTTATATAGCACAGCTACTATATAAATATAAACTACTCTTACTATATCCAAATATCTAAAAGCTCACCTCTTCTGCTAATAACATAATTTTTAAGTGCATTTAAACATGCATATGGAAAATGTGCTGTATAAATGCATTGTTATTATTATTAATACAATATTTAGAGGATGTTTTCCATTTACAATATAAACATTTTACATGTGACAAACGTAGAGAGAGGCAGTCCACTGATTTTTTCATCAGTCTATCAAAGCGAAGAAAGAGATAACTCATAAATAAATGTAAATGCTGATGAATTTGCTTTTAGAAATGCACCTTCGATTGCATTCATACTTAATTAGAATATACAGAGAGGCCGGCAAGAAACTAATGTACATGTAAACGACGGGTGCAACAAAGCATGAAGTGAATTAATATTTATGTGATTTTAAAAAACTGTAGTGTTCAAGTGTAATGAATAAGACTTGAGATGCCGATTTTTCTTTTCCTTTTTGCAGGCAATGTAGAAGTAGCTATTGTAGATGGTTTTTCCTTCTGTTGTTCTGCTAATTGTGATGCATTTGGTTGTGTACATTGTTGAATATGTATCTGTGACTATTATTAAGTTGTTGATAACAAAACAATTGCTGAATACCATCAAACTGTTTTAAAAAACAAGTAAAGTTTCTGCAAGTTGTTAGGCCAATCTTGTTTTGTAATGGTTAGAAATCATGTCAAAACATTACATTGTATCTAAAGATGCAGCTTTCGGTCAAGTGCAAGAGGTATGAGGCCAGACATCCTTTAATTCAAATGCATTCATTCTACCTATAGGAGAGGTACACACAATAATAAAATATAAAGAGAGAATAAGATAAACCTGTCACATAACTATACATTTATATTACCATTTAAGTTGATTTTCAGTTTTTAAAATTACATATTGTATATGTAGGTACTTAATTACTTATGTATGCGTGAGAGCCTTATGAGCATTCTTTGCATAAATTTGTATTACTTCTATTTTTCCCTTTTCTTCATATCAGGTGATGGCCAGGCTCATTTAATCTTCCTTTTTTTAAGGAATAGATTCATAGAGTAAACTTCTTTTATTTTAAAACTAGTAAATATAAGAATGAAATTTGTTGAAAGAGACACACATCAACAAAAGATGAGTAACCATTGTACAGATTATTTTGCTTCCATTTTGTTCGATGAAATGTTTCTTTATTTGAGGTTTTATGAGTTTAAGGAACAGGATTACTAAATGTTACATTTCAACAGAATATCCATTTTGCTTGAAAGAACCTTTTCTGATTGTATGCAACAACAAAAAAGAAAGCTTAGCACCTTGTGCCTTTTGAAGTATATTTGGTTGAAATTGTTTTACTTCTTTCTTTTTCCTTTTCACATAATATTCTTCAATTATAATTTTCAGGTGCATACTGTTGTCTAAACCTAATTTCTTCGGGTAAATCATACATAGTCTTCTTCTACATATATATTTCTCTGTAGAACTCTCCCCATCAATGGATGATTTATACAAAAAGATGTTCAACCTTACTTTATTTTATCTTTTTTCCTACTAGTACAGTTCTATCATTTAACAACACTTTGAAGATTAAAAACATATTGTCCACTGCATATCCCTGAATTACAATGAATTACTCAGTATTCATGCATCATGCACATTGTTGGTTGTATGTTATTTTTGTGTGATATCATGAAACAAACATTGTATCAATTAAAATGAAAGTGGGTTTAGTGGGAAAGCCCCAACAAAACTTACATCAATGCCTCTTTGATATGTATTGTTGATGCTCTAGCTTCTTCTTCCCCTTCTTCTCCTTTTCCTCCTTCTCCTCCTTCTCCTTCTCTTCCTTCTCCCTCTCCTTCTCCTTTTCATTCTCCTTCTATCTCTTTCTCTTCCTCTTCTCATTTATTCTGTATTTAGTTAATAAGACTATAACTATAGGACATAATGATATTTGGTTCTTGTATAGAGCATATCACATTATATAACGTCTCTATGCGCTTCCAAAGAGCTTTGGAAATTATTACCCTAGCTTTAGCTCCGGCAGCAGTAATTAGCGCACGATGAATGATCCTAAATTTCAGAATATCAGAATCTCCAAAATTAGATCAATCTATGATGGACAGGAACAATCTTTTTTCTAAAGAGGGTGTAGTTTATATTGCGAGTTTAGTAATGATACACATACACACACAATGTACTTTAATATAGATAATAAAGGAATCGTGAAGGGCTTAACATTAACAATGGTCAAGGACGAAGAGTTGCTTGGAAAGAAAGAGGTAGTTTGTGAAACATATGCACTTTTCAAATGAATTCCAAAGAAATCATTTTAACTTCCATGAATACTATCAACCTCGTACAGGAAAACAGATGGAATTTTAAATCTCTTGGAAGTAGGATAACTTTGATACAAGTAATAAAAGAATCATGAATTCACAAAACTTTCGGTGTATCAATACCGAGAAAAAAACATGAAGTAGAAAAGAGGAAGAATGTTATAATAAAATCTCCGTATACGATCGCAAAGGCTGTCGGAAAATCAACTCCACTACCCTATTGTAAATCCCCAATAAATCATGTTCGGATTATGTAATAGTTCGTTCATTTAAATAGATGGACAAGGATAAATAATTAGCGGTTTGATTTTTGTTGTTGCTAAAAGTCTGTACAATCCTCTTTAACTCCAAGTGGTAATAAATATCCTCTCTTCCGAAGGTGAAATCAGACCCATCTATAATGTTCTAATATATATTTACAAGGGCCACGTCGTTCAAAACTACTCTACTAGCAGGGGCGGCGATTTCTTTTCATGACCAGGGGGGACGAAATGTGAGGGACGAGGGTGCAGTGGCGTAATGAGCAAAAACGTTGAGGGGGTAGAAAAGACCGCATTACCACCACTCTCACATGTTACGCAGGCCCTGGCAACGTTTTTTTCAAAGTGGGGAGGGGGGCTAAGTATTTACGATCAGGTAGAGCAAAGCGAGCGAAGCAATGGAGCGTAAATTGGCGTGGGGTCCAGGGGCAAAGCCCTGGCGGGGGTCAAGGGGCGGAGCCCCATGAAACTCAGGGGTTTTAGGCATCTGATTGAGGTGAGATGAGCATCCATGGGGCAGATCCCCCGGGAGTTCAGGGGTTTTAGGAATTTAATTACGGTCAGAGTAGCATATTTTGATACCTTATTTGTGACTTGCACTGACATGCAGGTCACTAATTGGAGTAGGGTACAGGGGGCGGAGCCTCCAGAAGCTCAGGGGTTTTAGGCATGTAATTACGATCAGATGAGCATCCAAGGACCGCCTCAGGGCATTTAATTGGTGGGGTCCAGGAGGCAGAGCCCCCAGAAGCTCAGGGAAAAATGCCATTTCAGCAACATTTGTAAATCACTGGTATCGAATTAGAAATAAACCACGTTTGAATTTAATTTTTTGAGGGAGAACTCCCCCCCCCCCCCCCCCCATCACCATCAATACGCAAGTGCGAGGGAGCATAGTGAATGAGAAGGGTGAAGGTGACGGAAGTTACTATCCTCTCACAGGTTTTGAAGTTTTGGTTGTATAAAAAAACTACATTCCTTAGCCAGTATAGTATAAAAACAAGCAATATATACTTTTTCCACAATTCACTTTTCTCGGTATTTACTTATACATTTTGAAGGATATTATGCGAGGGAGCGTAGCTGCTGAGTGAGAAAATTTTTGCATTTTTATTTGTCTAAACACTACACTCTTGGGCCCTCCAGAGCCTAAAAGTGTGTTGCAATCTTTAGTCAGTATTTGCTATACATTTTTTTGGGCACTTTTTTCAAATTTTGAGGGGGGACGACCCCCCCCCCCCTTAAAAAAATTGAGGGGGGACGTTTCCCCCCCCCCCCCGTCCCCCGGGATCGCCGCCCCTGTTTACTAGACATCCTAGATTCAAGAGGAAGGTTGTCATATAGGGACAATGAACGGCAGATGGCATAGTGGACCAAAACAAACATCTCCCCGTAAAAAACCTAATACGTTTCTATTGCCCCTCCCCATTTTTTTTTAAAAATAACAAAATTAAGAGACACGATTCACAAACATGACCCGCCTTCATGATGAAAATCCTATATACGTCCCAGCAGCGATATATCTATCTCCTCTATCGAGAAGAAAGTGATTCTTTCGTTCCGTTCTATCCAATTCCCCTCGATCGTTTTTCTGCCCATAATAATTATTTCTCTTCTCTATTCACAAACATGAAAGCAACATGAGCATCCACACTTCGTTATTCGAAAAGCAAATGCCCATGTCTGTAAAGCAGTAGATGGTTGAAAGATTAAAGCGAAAACACCGTACGTGCCTTCCACTTTAGAAAACAAATTATTGCGCTATCTTAATTCACTTTGTACATCCGCAGCCCTTAAAACGTCATCGTGGAAAAATATAAATCGAGCAACAAGCAGGCCTTTGGTTTGCTGCCCCACGCTTTCTAAATGTACAGCCTGATTAGGCGGTAATATTGAGCTAATCTTCTCTCGCACGTTCTTCATGTTTGCCCGAATGACGTTGCTATGGTAACCGTGTGGTACCTGGAGGAAGAAAACCGATTGTGCACTCAGCTCGAAGATAACGAGGGCCTGATTATTTTTGCTTTTGTTTGATTTGCCGAATGCTGGGGTGGGATGACGCTAATGATTACAAATTAATTTGCTTCACGCGAAATTGCGCCTCCCCCTTAAAAAAAGTAAATCGAATGAGATATATACAGTCGAGCTTGCCTCCCTCCTATAATAATATTGTACATAATAATATGTCTGTATATTTTCTAAGTTGCTAGTTCTTATAGTTCCCTGCCAAAGACCCCCCCCCCCCCAACAAAAAATGTCTGTCATGATGAGCGAATTATGACTGATACAATGATAGAAGGTCTTTTTCGAATCATGACCTCATTCTTCCAATTGTAGTCGACGTCTGAAATTGACGTCAAAGTGTGTGACCAAAGCCGGATTCTGCCATGCCCTGGATTTCTCCAAGTCCACTTTAACGTATTTGCCGTTTTGAGTACCTTGTCATGTTGGCATTTTCGTCATCAACATTCTATGAATCAATATTGCCAATGTCAGTCATTCACGTACAACTATAATCTACATTCTGTTTTTAAAAAAATATGAGAAAAAAACCCACTTCCCTTAGTTTACGTACAAAACACAACACCACAGCATCATATTTGAAGCCAAAGAAAAGGGGCGGAATTTTGTTGTTTTATTTTCCAAATTCCATTAAAGTAAATGGATTGATTGATGTTTCATCACTGGTCTGCTCTATTGCAATTTCAACCGTTCTGATTTGTTAAACCCTCTCAAGTTTTTCTTTCTCTTCTAACTACGTACATGCCCTATAGGCTATAGACATCCAAAAATGTGATAGCTATATATGCCTTATTTATCTTTGCTGAATCAATCCCACCCTCTTTGTCTTTCTACAGAATACTAAATAATAAGATAAAAGACTTAAAATCTATCCCGAAGCATTTCTTGGCTGTCAAGTGACGTTGGCGCGATTATGGAACCCTGCCCAATTCATCATCTTCTTGCGCAGGTTATGACGAACTTTAGGGAGTCGTATCGCCAAGCTTGCCAAGGTTGGCAAGGATACCGCGTGGTGGGTTTAGAAGAGAAAAACTAAATTAGCTTAATAATTCATTAAAACAATATGACAACTGCCGACACTAGACTGCGCCACCGATGACGGTAGCTTATTTTCCCTAAAATGTATTGACTCACGTACGTGTGAAACACGCGTCAGACTATTACGCACACGCGACTTTGATGGTTATATTTTACTTGGAAAGAAACAAATAGATCGAAGGCTCTACAAGAAAAGAGTAAAAGGTCTGTCAATTTTGTAGAGACATGATAGCGACAGGGGTATCACTTTGGATCACACGGTTGGTATAATTTGGTGCTCCAGGCTCCGAAAAACAAGAAAAAACAAGGGGAAAAAAACAGCCACAACAACAACAACAATGATGAGCCTCATAAAAGAAAATGATATTAAAACAAAATCTCTTCTTTTCCACCTTTTTTTGCATGAAAGATGAAGTCAAATTCCTAAGAATCTGCGCTGTCATTCAGCATTATAAGAAGTGCTTTTTTATTATATCACGTTGTGTTATAATTTTACCTATTCCAAATACCGTGCCCGAGAGAGATGCGCGTGAGGCACCATCCCTAAAATTCAAACGTGGTTTATTTCTAATTCGATACCAAATGATTTACAAATGTTCATCTCTTTTCAGTTTTTCTTTTCACTTAGGTGCCAGAAGTACCATTTTCACCTCTGATAATTGCTCTTTTTACTTTGACACGAGCACCTTTTCTTTTATAATAACTTGTCCTTTCCCCTTATATAGGTGCCTATGTATACCTTTTCTTTCTCCATAACATGCACCCCTAATTCAAGGCGGCTTAGAGCTCCCTTTTCTTGAATCGCAAATATAAATGTTAATGTAACTATGTCTTTGTTACTTATAAAAGAACTTTCAGTCTTTCTTCATTAGATTGTGATTGATACTCATCAGGGTTTGTTTTTTGTTTTCTTTATAAGATGTAATTTTTTGCACTGGGACCTCACACATCTCAAATTTTGTTTGCTCGCACGCTTGGCTCGCTCGAAAATTAATATTTAGACCATCACACCCAATTAACTGCTAAGTAACTTGTACCATGCACGTAAAGAAAGAAACTAATATTGATGTCATCCCGGGTAGTGTAGTCACAATCAAGACGATGTAGGGGTATATACCAGTGTCTGAAAATGGTGTATGTTTTTTTTTTTTTATGTTTCCCTAGTTTGTGGGTGCCCCCTTTTCCCAGAAAGTGCCCTTTTTGTTGGTGCCTCCCTCCCCTACTTTGGAAGACGCTCCGCCGCCCCTGCATTATGCTACTTGGTGGTGATGTGAATTTTGTTTTGACCGCCCAAAAGTTTTTGATCATTATACGCGACTGCTTGAAAGGTCTTTGTATATGGGCTCTCAATAAATAATTCAAACATGTTGAGTATCAAGATACGATAAGACACTACTGTATATTTAATTAATTATTCAGACATTCGGCCTGATTGATGATAATTTAGGGCGAATAACGGGTCACGTGCATGGGGGAAAGGGAAGCATTTTTTTTAAAAGGTTAGTTTGTTTTTGTTGCGACGCATTGTCAATGTAGACAAAAATAAGCATAATTTCATATTTTCATTTTTACAAGTAATAAACGCTGATGGCGGAATTTTAGTTTGCAGGCACAAACTGTTGTCAGTCATTTGCACATGCAGCGTTTGCAAATATGGCCTGCACTGGAGAAAACAGATTACGGACTTATATTCTAAATGACTGTTTATTTCTATTTTTTAAATGGCTGTTAAAGTGGGGAAATAATGCTAAGCACGGTGAAGGTCAAACAGTAGAAAACCAAAGAAAACCTATTTTCTGTCCTTTGAACGTGTACCAAATATTTGCAGAACTTTTAGTTCATATTCTACTTCACATGAAACACCTCATGTCCACCTCAATCAATTCACAATGTCTTTTGGCCTAAAATACATGCCTTTTGGGAATAACAAAACATATATATAGGCCTATATATATTTTTCTATGATATGGAGTCATCTTTATTCAATATTGCTTTCGACTTTGCAAAATCATAACAAAAAAATTATATAAATATACATACATAATTATAAACAATAGAGTTAGAAATAATAATGTATATTTATAACTGATTATACAGGACTGGTGGGACAGACACAACAAATTAAACCACGATATGTATTTCCACCTATTATCAAATGATACAAATTTGTTGTTTTTAACATAAATTTAATGTTCAAGAGAACGATAATACCTTTAGTGATAATATATATATTTATATATACAAACATACATACATACGTACGTAAGTATAGGTAACTATATACATACACATGTATGCCTGTTTACATTATAACAGCGCCTACTGAGAAGGTATGACGTCATCTTTGTTTTGCAACGATGCTGTGATGACGTCAATTTGCCCATATACATTTTGACATGACTTGTGACCAGCATTGTGGCCGGACTTCAAACATTTCGTCAATAATTTCGACCAAACGTATTTACGTCATTCCATATAGTACAATTCATTTTAAAGATATAGGCATGGGCTTATTACAAATAGAGTTCTATTTTAAGAATTTAAAGACGGATATAGATTAGTCTCGCTTTTCAATGACATCGATATAGGCCTAACACAATACGGGTAAATACAGAGAACATGATGTGCGTGTGTCAAAATGAGGAAAAAACATGCAGCTTTAGAACTATTATACAATGGATCTATGAGACACAAAACACATAATAATAGTGACATCTGAACAACTCTGAAAGTGTGTGTATGTGTGTGGGAGGGGGGTTGTGGGGCTCCGTTGCAAGCCTGATGACTGCGATTTTAAAAGGTACGATCTTCATCGATCTTAGGGTCTAAACCATATTCTTTATTTTTCAGTTTTATTCATCTTTTTTTTTCAAGACTTAAGCCTATACCATATTTTTGGAAAAACAGAACTATAATATTAAATACAATTTAAATTCATTTAAGTAAGCCAATTTCAGGTTGTATTATGCTTATTTCAAATAACGCCTTAATAATATAAAAATAGTCTTCGTAGAATACTTGTTAAACACAACACAACAACATTATACTAGCAAAGAAATGTGGAAACCGCATGCTAATATTCAAAGAATGGCCTGACTTTGAAATTAAGTATGATCTGATGTGATGGTTATTTTTACCTGACTGCTAAGAAAGCATAAATGCTTGTAAGTAAGCAACCAGACGGCCGACGGCTTTAGGTCCTCTCCGAGGGACCTGGTAGTGAGGATTAATGCCTTAATTACCAAAGGGCACTATGAATGAGCGTCTTCTGTTGTCAGCCTATACAACAGGGATAGGTGTGGCCCGTAAGAACAGCATATACACCAGAGGTTGAAGGTTCGAATCCCCCAATGAGTCACTGACATGCAGGTGGAATCACGGGTGTCAGATCTATATCATGATTGGGCGCTATTCGTCTGCGGTTTACAGGCGTGACAGACACCTACCTAGGCCTGTCATCATCAGACCGAAGTTGCAAAATAACTCGCTATTTTCCCGTAGCTCGAAATTGCGTTTTCACCAGACTGAAACGCACAAACCTGCTCGGACGGGTTAATTAGCCCGCTATTTCCCAAAACTTAGCAGGCTATTTTGGAAACAAATCCAACATTTCTCCGGACTATTTCTCGACGAGGGCTAGTGAAAACTCTGCAGGGCTAGTTAAAATAGCGGGTCATTTTGCAACTTCGGTCTGATGAGGACAGACTTCGTGTCATGTGCTGTACAAAAAGTGGCTGTCATCTTGAAACACGATCGCACTGACTTTCAAGAACGAAACCCGAGGGTATAAATGTGTTGCCTATAATTAGAAAGGATGTCCGGATTACGTAATATATACGTCATTGTAATGTTCGCACAGTTCAAAAGGTGATGATAAGGCTAACGAAAGGCGCATACAATATTATGACCACCTCAGAAGTCATTGCGGTCGCCTTTCGAAGAATATAAAAAAGGGAATTATTTATACCGAATGATGGGTTTAAGAGAGGTTCCTCTTACCAAACTGTGAGAACTGAATTTTGAGAACGTTGAAAATGTTTAATGACATGTTTATGATAAATGTACAGAAGTAAATGTTAAATGTATAGGCCTATTATTATTACGGCATATTCGTGAAGTCTTGAACGTTTTTAAATTTCCTCAGATTTTAATATTTCCCAGAAAATTATAGAGTGGGAAAGTTCGCTCAAGATTTTTGGACAAAAAATAAAAGTGGGGGATGTCCCTTTCTCTTGCGATGTCCATATCAATGCTATAAACTGTAAAGACTCTCATTTTTAGTGTAAATATTTTTGTATATTGTAAGCTTATTAAACTGTTGATGCAGACTATGCAGGATGAAATAATGAGAGAAAACATTAATTGTTGGGTTAGGAATAGGATAGATACGGGCGAAGGCCAGGCGAGCGAGCGATGACGTCAATGTTGCCAAGCAACACGTCGGTTGAGTAATCACCCAATGGTATTGCAGCTTATTCAGCCAGTCGGAGATAGAGGCCATCCCCAGGTGTGTCACGTGGTTTCAGCAGTAAAGAGGGCGGCGGACTTGCAATGATTTTTCTATGCATGCACAAGCCCTATGCGCTATAGTGCATGTCTACTGTGTATGTACCGTATACTTCCACTCAGCTCGCTCTGTGCATTGTTGATTAGATCTAGTGCATTGCATTGTTAACTTAGTCTATGTGTTGCTGAACCGGAACGCCGATCCTAAAAAGTAACGACTGTAGTATAATTTTAAAGCCTTGGTTCTCTTCCTGTTCCAAGGCTGCTCACGTTACTAGCGTTTTGGAATCCGTGGATCTATATCGTAGGAAAATTTGTAATATCACAAATTGCAGATTAGAGTTAAAGAAAGGGGTGAATTCGTCTGGTAAGTCACGTTTTTAAATTTGTTTTCAATTTTCAATATTTTGATCTCATTTGCATTTCAAATTTCATTTTCATTTGACTGTCCGTTAATAACAATACCAGGGCAGGGATTAATCTGTACTGGGCTCAGTAGACCCTATGTACGCATAGAATCTTTATAAGAACAAGAAGCTTATCATTACCAATATGAATCACTTTGGCTTTATGAGAAGAGGACCGCGGGACGAAGCTCAGCTCAGTGCAGTCTCGGACTCGGGCCGCAGCCTAGGGCTAGGGCCTACGGCTACGCCTACGGTGCATGATACACGTAGTAGGCTAGTACTAGTAGGGCCGCGCTAGCTGCCGAGTCTGACAGTGAGAGAAAGGCAGCACGGCCACGGCTAAAGCCTAGGGAACGCCTATTTCTCAAAATACTCACAGGCAAATTTAGCATAGACATCTAGCCATAGGCATAGGTCTAGGACTAGGCTAGCATCTGTAGTACTACTAGATCTATAGAGTCTAGCCATCATCATGTAGATTGTGACATATTTTATAAGAACTTGACATTGTAATTGATGGAGTGACCAAAGTTCGGGGAGATTTTTGAAAATATTAAAAAAATGTGAATGTGATATTCGATCTATGATTTCTCGTATTCTACACAAACTTATTTATTTTCAATTACCAAATGCGCAGCAAAGTTTTTCAATACAAATTGGTTCACACTTCAACTAGAAAATTTATTGTCAAACTTTCAAAGAGGGTTCCGGAGTTACCACGATCTAATTGATGTAGGATCGGCGTGCGCCCTGCAACTAAAAAAAGTCCTGAAAACAATGAGACCTTACTTCACGCACGGGGGGTTCACAGCTGATTTTTTAATTTTTTTTTAATGTGATCCATTAAAAATAAGGTAATTTCATAACTTGTATTAAAGGCCATCTGTACTAATTCGGCCCGAAGGGATTAGACCACCCAGCAAGGTCTTTGACAGGTGGCTATCTCATCAACTCGGCTCTCAATAACATAAGAAAAAGAGGATCAAGTTTTCTATATAGAGGGAGCAAGTAGCTACAAATAGTACAGTGGGGCTTTAAAGGCAAGATATCATACAATCTATTTGTACGACTTTTTACTTACAATTTTGAGGGATATCTGCTCTCAAAATGATGATTTTCAGACCCTTATCAGTAAGTCGATAATTTTTCAAAACACAAATGACTGCAAAATTTGCAGATCTTTTGTCAATATTTTCATAATTTCACACCCAATTCCAAAGAAAATTACGTCTCTGACTAGATTTATGTTCCTCTTTCCATTGGTGATATCATATGTAGGTCACGCCCGAACTATGGTCACACCACCATACAGCCACATTCTTCTCCTTCTTCCAGTATAGTACATAGCCTACCGCCGTTGGCGTATTATTGTACCTTGTGCTTGTCAAGTAAAAGAGGCTCTACAAGAATTCTATTTGCAGCTAAAAACATTGTGTAGTCCCATATACTGGTACAGTGGTAGTGGACTAGTGGTAGTAGAGGTCTTGTTTTTGCCACAAAATACATGTGTACCGGTAGATAGTATAACTTAGCAGATCACAAGTTCATAATTTTAAATGTTTCATGACATTGGTATTGCATGGACATGATGTTAGCCCTAAAGGTAGTGTATCCCTTTTGCAGCTAACATAAAATTCTGTAGAACTTAGCAGGAATTATGAATATGAGTCTGTGACATGTCCTCACTGTCCACTAATTATTTTCTTTATATTGATGATATAAATTTCCTATTTTCTCCTTAAGAATCTTATTTCTTCACACCAGCATCCAAGTTAGATTAATAGTAATATGTTTTTGTGTGTATGCACGAATATCGAGCAATTTTTTTCCAGTTAAATCATGAAAAATGTGAATTTTGAAAAACTATTTATATAAAAATCAATATTCAGAAAATAGTGTAAATTCTTCAAAGTTAATAAAAGATTTTGTGAAATGTCATGCATGCAATATGATACAAATCATATAACCTGGGCAAAGGCATGGGGAAATCAAGTTTTGGGGAATAAAAAGGGAAATTAATGGGATTAAACCATATACTGTAGAGCAATTGATAAATAGTGAGGACATGACGTCACAAACTGATAACCATCTTGGCAATTTGTGTTGTGATTCTCATTGTTCCATAGTTTTACATACTTTTTCAAAAATTCATAACTTTCTTATTAGTTATCCGATTTTGCTCAAACTTTTTTTGATTGGTTCGTCTGATTTTTCTGCTTTTATTGAAAGTAATTTTTTTCGAGTGGACTTATCCTTTAAACTGATTGAATCTTTGCACAGCACAAAAATGTAAGACCATTTGGTACAAGGGTCTGATTGCAAATCAGACTATTTAATTAAATGAGCTGCTTGTTAAATTCGATTCGACTAGTAACGCTCATTATTTTTCATCAAAGAGACATTTTCAAGCCCTTTTGTTTTGAGGGAAGTTCTAAATATAGTATTATTATACTAATTGTATTAGTATTACTCCAGAGGACCAGAGATGGATTTTCTGATGTTGGTTTTCCATTGTTTTGGTTTTGATGCACCCAGTCAATGTACAGTGTAGGTGCCAAAAAGCTCAGTCCAGAGCCGCCCCCCTCCCCCTCCCCCCCTCCCCCCTCCCCCCTCCCCCCTCCACCCTAAAAAACAAAAACAAATCAAACGATTTACACAGGCTCATGCATTGATTAAAAAGAAGTCTACATCCGAATCCGCTTCCAAAAATGTTAGTTTGGACTTTGGAGGCTTGGAGCCCTAGATAATTACTAGATATGTGTACGGTATGCATACATACTGTACATGTACATTTCAGATATAAATAGATATGATTTGTAATAAACATGGATATGTATGTACAGTTTAATCTACCGGTATGCTTACAGTGCGCATACATTTATGCATGGTAGAGGCATAATGTGCAACACTGCATCAGGCTACAAGTTATCTGATTGATTATTGCCTACATACATATGCATGACATGTATACATTGTATGTTCATACAGAGTGTTGCAGATGATTGGTAAACCAACACGCCTTCGTCTATTTCCCCTACAGTATCTTGTATCACGATCACATGTAGATGTGGTGATCTACCACCCACACACTATCCTCCTTTGTGAAGAAATAAGAAAGAATCTCGTCTTCTTGCTTGAATACATGTACAATGTACATACCTGGGGCCATGTAGAGAATATTAAGCCATTCCAGTCACACATTGCATGTTATTGATATTTGTACGCATCACATTCACTGCTATTGTTGACTACAAATGTTGAAATCAATCCTTTATTCTAATTTATTGGAGTAAGGAAAAGAGGGGCAAAAAAAGAAAAAGAAATGAGGTGAGAGGGGAAGAAGTTGCCCCTTCCCAAACTACAATGTACATGCACATTTAGGAAACTGCATTAACATTTCTCATGTAAGTATAATTTTCAGGGGAAAAATATAAGTACGCACATTTTTTTCTTTTAAATTAGCAATTCAAGGAAAGTCAAGACAACTACATGTACACTAAAAGAAAGGAGGAAAAATCAGAAAAGCAGACTGATGATAGTTCGAATGAAATTGGACAAAAAAATAAGAAAGTTATGAGTTTTGGCTGAATTGGTATCTATAGCGCCTGAGAGCTTTTTCATTTGTTTCAAACTTTCAAGTTTCAACACACAAAATGACCAAAATTTCAAAATGTATGACTCAGCACTCAGCAGGTACTCTTCTTTTTAGAAGACATGATAATGTGCTATCCATTATAAAATTTGAGTAGTGCCCTTAGGGAGAAGGCAATTATAAATAGCAGAAAATAGAAATTAATGAGATATTTGTACACAACAAACTGGAGAGTTTTCCATGACTATGTCACAGTCCACTTGACATTCATGTAGATTTAAAGATCTCCTATTTCAAACATTCATAATTCCCTGGTTATTGGTCCAATTAATCAAAACCTTTGCCATTCTGTCTCTCATTTTTGTTCTGCTTTCATACAAATTACCTTATTATCAAGGAATGAGGCTTGTGAGAATAATTTACTTTTCCCATACACGAAAACAAAATTGAAATCAAAGAAGGAAAGAAAGAAGGACAAATGAAACGGTCTGGGTCATGATCAGACGAGCCAGTCTGAATCATGCTCTAATATAGTGAGATGTTCCACAGCTTTCCTCATTACTTTGGTTGTCGTAGGCCGGTTTTAGATTGCTAATAAGCTAATCCCGATCTTTAAAAGCTTTTTAATCTCGGAGTGGTATTGCCCTCGGTGCATGGTAGCCACTTACATGTAGATTCATTAAGACTAGATATGGTCTTCCTACTACTGGTAATACATGACTGCGACTCGTCTATTTGTGAGGTGGAGTCAATTCTCAATCTGTACAGTGAGTGTATAGTTTGAGGTGTAAATGTCAGTTCATTTTATTTTATTGTCTGCTCCAACTAACAAGGCAGATATTATGTATGGGCCTGTTTTGCTTTTTAAATGTAGGTGCCTGTAGCATCTAAAAGTACATGTAGAACCATTCAAATACGATGTGATATGTACTGTACATTTATGAAATGCTTACCAGGCCCCGTCTTATAAAGAGTTACGATTGATTTGAAACAATCACCACTTCAAATTAATTGCAACTCCTATCTCTTTAAGTACACTGTTGCTATTAATTTGAAGTTGCAAGTGATTTGAATCCATTGCAACTCTTTGTAATACAGGGCCAAGGTATACCTTGTAAATATGATATCGCTTCCAGATTTTGTTGATGTCCAGAATGTGAATTAGTCATGTTACCGAATTCCTGAATTTAAAATAAATTGTGTTATGTCAACAATTTGAACTTGTAGGCATTTGTACATGTATATACTGTACATTGACGTTCATGCCTACATGAGCATACACAGAGTGCCTGTTCAACATTTTCCATGTACATGTATATATGTTTACATGTTCTGTAATTTTGTTCAATATACAATGGACGCCCAAAG